GCGAATTAAAAAAGTGATTTATTGTGATGAGACTTTACTGTATTGACATTCGTCATTATTACTCAGGAAACGGAAAATGACGATACTAGTTAGAAAATTATTATTAATATACAACATGTTTATGACCGTTGATGTAATAAAGATTATTATTAATAAAATTCGCATTCTCTTACTACAGTATTTGTGAAGTAATCGCTTCCTGCTTTTTTCAACAATGATGACACAGTATAAAATACAGAATACTGCCCCACTGTTTTAATTAAGGCATTCCCGTGTTAGAATGTCACTTGTGACGCACAACTTTCACTAACAGCCAATCATTATTATAATAACCAAAAGCGCGGGGTATACAAATTTCTTGAATTCTAGACCAGAAAATAAGGTAGTAAAGATGCTACCTAATATTAGTCTTCTATTTGTATGTCGTTTGATGATACAGACGAATCTTATAGTGACATCGTTTGTTTGCTTATTTATTCAGTCAAAAACTTTGATTGGATGTGGGATTTTTAGTCATTAATTGATTTGTTCTAGCCATAGAATGTTCAGCCGTAAACATTCTCTTAAAAGCGACCATTCGCCAAACAATATTCGGCGAGACTGTAGAACGAGCGTTTGTGATGTTTTCAGCTATGTGATGTTAAATGACTGTTACAAACCATGTAATTTGGAGAGAGTTAGCGCCAACTTTTTGAACTTTGATAACATACCAAACAACGGAATATCATCACCAAGGCAGCAAGACTCAACGTTTAACAGTAAAATAGGTTCAGTTTGTCAGTGCAAATCTAACCGCAATACTACTAATAGATATAAAGATCAGCTTTGAGCATTAAATTGTGATTGGAATTCAGAATAGTTAAGAAATGTGACTTGAACGATTGGAAAAATGCACTAGTAGTAGAACAAGAAGTATAATGATAAGTAGCAGCTCTCAAGAACAGCGGAAGTTGACCACTGCTGAATTTCCCCACTTCGGTTATTGTTGTGGTTGCAATCTGAGTTGTGGGAGAGCGATCACCTTTCGCGTAGACGCGTTCGTCGACAGAGAAAATGTAAAACTATAAGTGACTGTGATATAATAACAACAACGTTTAACATGTCACAGAATCGAAGGGGGATTAATATTAATTATTCTAATTTAAATAGAGTGATCTTCGATTTGGTATGTTCGACTAGTCGGGGTAAACGTTACTGAACAATAATCGTTTTCAATGTTAATTATTAAAGATTTCTGTATGGCTGTTGGTATAACAAACTGTAGATATCATCGTCTATCTGTTTCGTATACTAGTAGCAGAACCTTTAAATGTTCTATCTGTCTAAGAGAGACATGATGGATATAGAATAGAAGAATAGATAAAGTATATATAAAAATGAGACTATAGTGCAAAGTTCGTTCAATTCATTAACGCCTTTTACTTTTTCGGAGACGCGCGTTCACAAGTCAAAATTTTGGGCAACGTCACCACGAACCGATCAAGCCACAGTGTTACAGCTCGCCCAATATATTCCACGCCTTTTCTCTTTCTTAGTTTCCAAATTCCAAGATGAAAGACGTTAAAGGCGCCAGTGAAGGTAAATTTGATCCGTAATTCACATCTTCTATTGAAACAACGCATTTCGACTGACAGTTTGATATTCACCATATAGACGATGCCAATTTGCTTGTTCTCATAATCGACACGAATCCTTTCATGTGGACTAAATCAGCAGAATCTCCCTCCGGCCTGTCTCTCGACAATGCCCTGTGCCAACTTTTAGTCTTTATTAACGCACACCTGGCATTAAAGCACGACAACAAATTGGCCGTAATAGCTAGTCATGTGGGAATAAGGTAGAGAGAACATTAACTAAATTCCGAGGCTTTATACTTTTAAAACTTTGCCCACATTGGCAGTCAATGTGGAAGCAATTTGTTAGTAACTTGGAAGTTACGATAGCAAGTTTCTTTATCCTGCAACCAACGCGGTTCAAGTAACCAATAATTCAGATTCTGAACAATCGAAAGATACAAATATGTATCAGACATTCCGTGCGGTAAACAATCAGGTCACTGCGGGTGTACGAACTTTAATGCAAGACGCGCCAACACTGGAGACGTATCCCGATAAAGGTTTGTCATTTTTCCTTGGAGATTTTCGGAAGAGTCGTTGGCTGAACTTTGGGCCCTTATACTGATTTGATTTTTTTGGTTTTTGAAGGAAGTTCAATGATTGCGAGCGCTCTGTCGATGGCTTTATGCTGTGTGTATTTCATTTGTTTATGGTTTACGTCTTTGAAAATTTTCCAATTAAGTGGTATCATTTTTCAGATGTTAACCGCGTATTACGAACCGACAACGTTGGTCATATTAAACCAAGGATATTGATCGTGTCTGTGTCATCAGACTCGCCCTATCAGTATATTGGAATTATGAATTGTATATTCTCGGCTCAGAAAGCAGTATGTTGCTTGCTTCGTCTAATACGGGTTTATTTTGGATAATTATATAAGCTTTATGATGGTTTACAGAGCATTCCAATAGACGTCTGTAAGGTCTACGGCGAAGATACTGTCTTTTTGCAACAAGCAGCACACATCACTGAAGGAGTTTATCTCAAATTGGCTTCGCCACAAGGCTTTTTACAGTATCTTATGGTGAGCATAGGTTATCTATATTCTGTGCAATTAGGTGGATATGAAACGAGCTAATTTATTTGTCTGAATTACCTAGATTACATTTTTACCTGATCATTATTCAAGGAAGTATCTCTGTCTACCAGGACAAGAACATGTCGATTATCGTGCCGCCTGCTTTTGCCACAAGAAAATAGTTGACGTTGGATATGTGTGTTCAGTGTGTCTGTCAAGTACGTACGAGTTCAGTTTTAGTTCGATTGGGGTATATTATGTCAGTATGGATATCATTGTAACAATTTTTATTATGAATATCACGTTTAGTTTTCTGTCAACCATTGCCTCAATGTTCAACGTGCAGGTATGCATCATTTCAAGCATCGTTCATTGATCATGTCCCGTTGTTTTCAACAGTTGTTATTCCTGTATTCGGATGAGCTTTTGTCCAAAACTAGTCTTACACATGATTTGTACGATAATCGTTATACTTATTTACTGATTAATTCAATTTTTATTATAGAACAAAATTTGATCTGAATTCGTACGAATAATCATTGAAAGGCAGATATTGAAGCGAGGGATACGAAATTTTCTTAGATGCTTTAGATTTGGACTTTATTTGTAGTAGTTTGGGGTAAAGAATGTATGCAAAACTTCCTTATAATACATTAACACATCATGGTAATCGCTTTCTAACCAACCAAGCCAGCAGCGGTCACACTCAATTATGCTCTCCAATAGCTCTAGATATTTGCCTTTCCTGGGCGAAATAATAGAGGAAATAAACGTTTACTTAAAGCCTAATGTTTGATTAGAATGTTCCGCTCAATCCGCATACACGCATTGAGAACTAGACGTTTTCACAAATCCGTGGTTTCTTTTTGTTATAATTGCGAGCTGAAATCGGCATGATCCTTCTCAGCATACAGAGCTGCAAGTGCTGCAAAAATAAATAAAATATATAGGAAGTTACAATCTTTGGCATGGCACATACACTCCACCATCTCCTCCCCTCATTTCTGTACACTAACCGGCTCCTACGCCAGAACCATCTCTCGCCTGCTCGAGATTAATGTTATCGGCGTTATTTCCCAAGATCTCTCTCATCGTTTGTTTCAAGTTATGCTTGAATCCAGGGTGAAACTCAAACAAACTTCCATCGATTCCCACTGCAGATTTTTGGTTTTCCACGCCAAGATGCTTAATTATCGCACACAATGCACAAGCAGATAACCTTGCAGCGCGTAATCCGACCGCACAACATATCCTTTGCACAATCTGTCTATCAGTCAAGGTAGTCTCGGGTATCTCAAACTCGACTTCCAGCAATTGTTTGGCGTAAGCAAGATCATCAGTGGCATCTGCTTCAATAATAGACATATGCGGAGTCCTGACAGCTCCAATGTTGTCAAATTTGTTGGAAGACCGTCCAGAGAAAAGAAGGTTACGGCCAACTAAATCTAAAAGAACATTGTGGGTTATTTTGCCAAGATAGTCACCAGAAATTAGCTTTTCGAACAATTGTTCTCCTGGATTTAGCGAAAGCTGGTCTAGCTTTTCGTCATAAGGAGTTAATCGAAGCACTTGACGCTAAAAATTTGAAGTAAAAGATCACCGCCATTTATCAAGTTAGCTGACCGATCTCATCATCATAAAAAGTTGTCACAGTTTATGCCATATCACTTACGCCCACAATCCACAGACCTCATTATCAAAAGCGCCCCATTCCATGTTAATAATCATATCGCCCGAACCATTTAGATTCAGCTTTCGAATGTTATCCAATTTTTCCACATATGCAGCGTTCGTACCGGTTCCAAGGATGACACCCATGATTGTAGTTGGGTTTTCATAAGCGTGCGCCAACAAGGTTCCCACTGTATCGTTAACCATAGCCACGACTTTAACCGGCACATTTTTCCTTTCCAAAGCCTCGTGTAACATTTCCACTACATCTCGACCCACCGCTTCCGCCGCCGAAAACCCCTTTGTCCATCTCAAAAGCGCACCCTTGTGGATTGCCGTCTGATCCACGGGAAATGAAAACGTAAATCCGAGAGAAAGAGTCGAGTCATGAACATCGCCTAGATGGATCAGGAACTGGTGTATGCAATCGGCAATGAAATCGAACAGTTGGCTATGGTGACCGGTTTTGAGAGAATCGGATATTTCGTATTTTTCTTGTTTGATTGCCAATTTTCCTGATCCCCAAAAGGTTATCTGGCAAACGCGTAGATTAGTGCCGCCAAGATCCAAGGCCAGATATGTGCCGTTTTCCGTTCCGTTCGGGATGGATTTCACTATTGGTCAAGGAGGGTAGCAGCAATGAAGCGAGGAGGGGGGTCAGCTGTGTCGCATTGATTATAAATCAGAAAAGCAAAGTTGTGGTATAACATGAATGTCGATTGCTATACGTTTCCGTCTAAATTATACTTGCCATGACTTGGGATCATAGCGATCGTTTGACCTGGTGCATTTAATCCTTTCCTCATTTCTTTAATAAAATGAGACACAATTTCATCGAGTTTATCACGGTCTATTGTAAATTGATCGATGATTTCGTCCACAGCTATTCGCTGTGACTCACTCGAGTATTCAATCAATGTCATATTGTTGGAAAAACGCAAGAGGAACTATCAGCAAGCAATTCCCTTGTTGATTGATCAGTAGTTTTTCTCAAATAGTAAATCTATCACAACTAATCCAGCCAATCGGCAAGTTTTGATTACGTTCTGCCATTTAACCAAGTATGATACTGTGTATTAGTATTCGATAATAAATTGGACAAATAGTCAAACACCAAAATGGTCAGTAAAGCCGACTCAAATTTTCCCACGCCGTTTAAAAATCTCAGCAATAGCGAATAGATCAAGATGTCAAACGCCCCTTTTTGTGTTACCAGCGAAAAGTGGAAACCGTGTTAGTAGAGTAACACAGATTAGCCAAGAAAATAGGTTCGAGGCAAGCGAATAGTGCAAACGTATGCGCGTAGTTTTTGCTGAAAGCACTTCAAGATTATAGTCTATAGTTGCTTTCGAGAAAGAGTTATGCTAGATAGAGTTTAGGACAAATTCTCACGACGGTAAACCATAGCATAATTTTCAATGCGCGATTTTCTCATTTCTGGAAATTATTATCTCAATTCTTATCAGCCAAAGACTCCAGTCAAGTCTGTTCTGGGTTGTGATACATGTCCCATATTTGGGATTATGTTGTTCTCGATTTTGAATCAAATGGAGCAAAACCAGACAGGGTGAACATTCTGTTATGTGACTAATTGAGAGCTGATGTGTTTCTAAAAGTTAACTGATTGACTAATAACATTTCGACGCTGAAACTTAATTGACATTAGGTTAATTAAAATAGACTTACTTGAATTACAATATGTTTAACATATGATCATGTGTATATAAATATAATTTACATTGAATCCATCATGGAACCAAAGAATTACAGTTTAATTATAAATTAAAAACATTTTAAAGAAGCCCAAGGAGAAAAATTGTCTCGTATGCTTTTAAAACCAATGATACCAAATTCTCGGGGAATGTCTAGATAAGAGAAATTTACTTATAAAACAAACGAAAATAGTAAACAATAGACGGACCTTAACTCTGACTTGTAATACACCAAGAAAAAACGAAAACTAGCAGAAATGTAAAAAATGCGCGCACGTAATTTTGATGCAAAAATTTCCCACTAAGGTGTTCACTAATTATGATTCAATGCCTATTGTTTAGTTTTGATAAAGACTGTTTGAGTGCATAACTCGCATTTTGCTCTTGTCACAACTGCAATTAAAAATTAATGTAAAAATAATTCAATTTTTCGTAAACATAAATTATTATTATTCGATTATGGAATAAGACATTTGTAGATAAGCCGTCATTGAACCGCGCTCTTGTACCAGAGTAATTTATGGGAAAATTTATGAATATAACCTATTCTTATTCTTTAATCACTTTGGTGAAAATCTAAATTTCGTTATCTTCTTTACTGTTACTATTATTTATAATAATGTCACTATAATTAATTTTTTATTTTTATTTTACCCGTCTGAGTGTTTACATTTCTTTGTTTTAAGTTCGATATTTTCTTGTTGTTTGGGAAATATTTTAACGTAAGCTACCTACTTTAAGGAAATTTTATTCGATGATTGTATTCTCATTTTCTGTATCGTTCTCTGCGGACTGGCGACTAAGACAATCTCATCATTGTCAAGTGCTGCGTTTTGCATTTTTTTACATTGGCCACGACAATAAATTGCGTGGTTTAATAAATTAGTAAAATAAATACGAACAAATATGCTGACACTTGTAAATAATTACTATAGCGTCAATGGGTCAGACAAATCTATTCTATTAATAAGTTCTTGACTTATTGTACTATGATCGTTTGTCTTCATTGGTGACTCTTCGGCTGCCCGGTTTATAGTTGTCTTATGGTACGATACGTAATTACCACAGATTATTGTATAATTTGCGTTTGTGTTTTTGTACCGTCGGCTTTTAGCCAGCGGTTCCCGAATTGAGTGTTTCCATCCAGATTGTTGTTTTATGCATCGAACACGTTATAACCGCTTGTTTTATGTTATATTTTTCAAAATTATTGCGGCTGTCCAAACATTTTTCAAGTATTTGTAGCTTACGGCACACGAAAGTTTTCGATAATGGGATTTGAAAGTATGTACATAGTCACTCTCGATAAGTCGGACTCATCGGGGCGGAGATTTTATCCGACTTATCGAGAGATCCGACTTATCGAGAGATCCGACTTATCGAATTTCATAATATTTTATTAAAAAAGTGCTTTTATTTAAATATATCAAATATTAAAGGACAACAAAAGTATCTTAGATATTATACACGAATTCATTTTTTACAAACTTTTTCAACGTGAGCTGCTTTAGAGAAGCATTTTGCTTTCTTCCAATTTCTCGCTGTAAGTCTTTCAATCCTAAGATTACGAATACGTTTACTTTTACATCAGGAATTTTGTCGTAAAAAATTGAATATATTTTGTACGTTGTTCAAAGCAGATATATTGATATTATATTGCATTATTCCCCTTCATCTTCCCCGTCTTCTTCCTCTGGTGTTTCCTGCACTGCAGCAATTATATCCCCTTCGTCAATCATATCAGCTACGTTTATCCTATTATCAATGTTAATGTAATCACTCGCTACATAATACGTTGTTTACAATAATCACGTTCTAGGCAAGCAAATGATGACAATATCAATATTGTCTACGATGCAATTATTCTTAGCAAAATCATTGGGTAATTAATTGTAT